CCTCAGGGCCTTTCTCCCTCAGGGCCTTTCCCCTGATGGTGTCAGGGAGACAAAAAGAAACAAAAAATCTTCAAAACCACAAAGCTGCCTTTGCCCCCACAGATTTCAGGGGGTCCCCACAAACCCATTGTGCCCCACAAATTTATTTTTACCTTCTAGACACAAGTGTGAGCACTCAAAAGTGTTTCTGTACTTCCTGCAGGGTGAAAAATCGAGCAGGAAAACAAAAAGAAAAATAAAAGCTGCTGAGCAACGATTTCTGCTCACCTGCAGGGCTGAAAAATCCCAATTTTTGCACCTCTAAGCATCAAAATCCTGTTTGATTCTTGCCCTGATGGAGGCCTCAGGAACTTCTCCCTCAGGATGGTTCCCCTGATGGTGTCAGGGACACAACAAAAACCAAAAAATCTTCAAAACCACAAGGCTGCCTTTGCCCCCAAAGATTTCACGGGGTCCCCACAAACCCGTTGTGCCCCACAAATTGATTTTTACCTGCCAGACACAAGTGTGAGCACTCAAAAGTGTTTCTGTACTTCCTGCAGGGTGAAAAATCGAGCGGGAAAACAACCAAAAAAAATAAATAAAAGCTGCTGAGCAACGATTTCTGCTCACCTGCAGGGCTGGGTGCACAGCTGAGAGCTCCAGAGCAGTTTTTGCACCCCTAAATCTCCTCTGAACCCCACAGCTGCAGCCCAGGCTGGTTCTGATGTGTTTTGGGGGAGATTTGAGCTCAGCCTGCAAAGCCAGCACAGCTCAGGGATTCTGCTGGGGGCTCCTGAGCTCAGGGCTGAGCTTTGCAAAGCTCGGCTTAAAATGGTTTAAATGGGTTGGACGGGGCTTGATAAAGGGTTTGGAGCATCCCAAACATTGGGATTTCTTTCCCTGCCTCCATAAAGGGTTTGGAGCATCCCAAGTATTGGGGTTGTATCTGGAGCATCCCAAATGCTGGGATTGCATTTTCTCAAATATTGGGGTTGCATTTTCCCTGCCTCTATAAAAGAATTGGAGCATCCCAAATATTGGGATTTCTTTCCCTGCCTCAGTGAAGGGTTTGGAGTATCCCAAATACTGGGGTTGCATTTTCCCTGCCTTGATAAAGGGTTTGGGATAAAATCCCAAAGATTTGGATTGTGTCTTTCCCTGCCTCTATAAAAGATTTGGAGCAACCCAAATGTTGGGATTCCTTTCCCTGCTTTGATAAAGGGTTTGGAGCATCCCAAATCTTGGGATTGCTTCTGGAGCATCCCAAAGACTGGGATTGTGTTTTTCCCTTCCTCTACAAAGGGTTTGGAGCATCCCAAAGATTGGGGTCGCATCTGGAGCATCCCAAATATTGGGATTGTGTTTTTCCCTTCCTCTACAAAGGGTTTGGAGCATCCCAAAGATTGGGGTCGCATCTGGAGCAACCCAAATATTGGGATTGCATTTTCCCAAACATTGAGATTTCTTTCCCTGTCTCAATAAAGGGTTTGAAGCATCCCAATGCCACTAAATGGGGCGATTTTGGGGTTTTTTTTTTTCCCCATTTCCTGCTTGTCACCCTGTCTGTCTCCCCCTGTCTGTCTGTCCCTGTCCCCCCTCCTTAAATCCCCCCCCAGGTTCCAACGGCCGCCCCAGCTGTGGCAGCTCCTCTGTCACACAAGAGAGGCAGCAGCCCCCAAGTGACAGCAGGTGACAGTTGTGTGCACGTGAAGCGTGGCCTGCCACCCTCCCCAGGGCACCCCCGAGCCTTGCAGGGCCCCTGGGAAATGGTTTCATCAACATCTGAATATTTGGAGTTCATTCAACGTTTGAATATTTGAATTTCATCAACGTTTGAGTATTTGAATTTCATCAATGTTTTGATATTCCCCCCCAAAAGAGCCCTGGCTGTGCCGGTGAGGATGAGGAAGGTCCCCTTCTCCATCATTCCTGCTGAAATCAGGGAAAAGTTCTGAATTCTTGAGGCTTTTCATGTGAAAACCCCTCTGCTCTTCCTCAAATCTAAAATCCTCGAAAAATGGAAAAAACAAACAAACAAACAAAAAAAACCCAAAACCCCAAAAACTCAACAAAAACCAAAACAACAACTACAACAAAAAAACCCCTGAATTAAAAAATCCCCCAAAAAACAACAACAACAACAACAACAACAAACCAAACAAAAAACCAAAAAACAAGGCAAAAAAAACCCCCAAAAAACCCCCCAAAAAACCCCCAATACCCCCCCCAAAAAAAACCCCAAAAAACCAAAAAAATGGGGATATAAACCCTCTTTCCCTTTCTGCCCAGCTGGAACATGGAAAACCTGCTCAGATAATTTTTTGGGGTGCAAAAATGCTGGAATTCCTCACACCCAACCCCAGGGACACGTCCTGAGGGGGATTTTGCCCAGGGATGTGATGCAGGATGAAGATTTTAGCCCCAAATGTTTCCTTTTCCCTCTTCAAAATTGCATTTCCTGCCAGACAAGGATCCCCCAAAGAGCCCCACAGGAGGGACAAGGAGCGGAGCCAGGGCAGAACCTTCCAGAAGGAATCATGGGGACAGCTCCAGCTGAGAGAGGAGCAGCTGGGGCTGGGAGGGACAGGGCCACTGTCCCCATGGCACAGGGAGGGGACATGGCCACTGTCCCCATGGCACAGGGAGGGGACAGCACAGGAGCTATCGAGGCCTCCCAGCTGCTGCTGCAGCTCCAGCTGAGCCTCTGGGGCTGCCATCCCTGGGGACTTTATCAGGGATTGTCCCCTTCTCTGGGGCTGCCATTCTTGGGGACTTTATCAGGGATTGGCCCTTCGTGTCCCCTCCTTTTGGGGCTGCCATCCATGGGGACTTTATTGGGGCTGTGTCCCTTTTTGGAGCTGCAGTTCTTGGGGACTTTATCAGGGATTGTGTCCCCCCTTTTGGGGCTGCCATCCCTGGGGAGTTTATTGGGACTGTGTCACCTCCTCTGGGGCTGCCATCCATGGGGACTTTATCAAGGATTGTCCCCATTTAGGGCTGCCATTTTTGGGGACTTTATTAGGGCTGTGTCACCTCCTTTTGGGGCTGCCATCCATGGGGACTTTATCAGGGATTGTCCCTTCGTGTCCCCTCCTTTTGGTGCTGCCATCCATGGGGACTTTATTGGGGCTGTGTCCCTTTTTGGAGCTGCCATTCTTGGGGACTTTATCAGGGATTGTGTCCCCCATTTTTGGGGCTGCCATCCATGAGGACTTTATTGGGACTGTGTCCCCTCCTTTTGGGGCTGCCATCCATGGGGACTTTATCAAGGATTGTCCCCGTTTAGGGCTGCCATTCTTGGGGACTTTATCAGGGATTGTCACCTCCTTTTGGGACTGCCATCCCTGGGGACTTTATCAAGGATTGTCCCCTTTTGGAGCTGCCATTCTTGGGGACTTTATCAAGGATTGTCCCCATTTAGGGCTGCCATTCTTGGGGACTTTATTGGGGCTGTGTCACCTCCTTTTGGTGCTGCCATCCATGGGGACTTTATTGGGGACTGTCCCCTCCTCTGGGGCTGCCAGGCTTTGTTCTTATCAAGGATCTTTTATCAGCTCCTTGCCCTGATAGCCTCAATTTTCATTTCATCTGCAAATGGGGACAGGGGAACTGATCAGATCAAACAAGAACCGGCCCAAAGCCCAGCTCTAAACTCAGCTTGAGCTCTAAACCCAGCTTGAGCTGCTGAGAGGCTCCAGTGAGTTCACACAACTTCCTGCATTTCACCCACCCTTATTCCTGCTGGAATGCCAGGATCCCACTGGGAAGGGAAAAAAGGGATTTTTCATCAACCTCCAGGCTCAGATTTAGGGATTTTCTCCAAGTGACAGCTGAAAATGAGAGATTTAATGAGCAGGAGAAGGTGACAAGAGTTGCTGTCACCCATCCTGTCACACCAAGGAGCTGCTCAGTTCTGGCAGCCAAACCTTGCTGGTTCTTCAGCTCCTTGCCCTAAAACCATTTAAAATGTTTTTGGTTTTGTTTTTTTTAAACCATTTAAAGCTCATTTTTTTAAACAATTAAGCTCATTTTAGGTCCAAAAAATCCCAAAGTTCTGGGAATCCCAAGAGCAGAGTTTGTCCCTGAGGACAGGATTGGGATGCAAGGATTGGGGAGTACAGAGAGCAAAACCTGCAGAGCTCCTCTGTTCCCTCAGCAACCCAAAATCTGATTTTCTACAGAAAATAAGTGAGTTTGTATCATCTGGGCTGCACAAAAAGGGGGGAAAAAAGGCAAAAATTCCCAGCTTGGATCCATCTCCTCCTCCCTTGGGATCCCAGAACTCCAGGCAGGGATGGGAGGGAGCAGAAATTTCTGAGTGCCCAGGACCAGCCTGGAGCAGGGCGGATTTTTTGGGTGGATTTTTTTTGGGGGGGGGGGGGGGGGGGATTTTCACAGCAGAGAGGTGGAAAAATCGCCATGAATTCATTCAGTGCGGCTGATTTGGTTTGTGAATGAAGAAATAATCAGAATTTCTCGGTGCCAACGTGCCCTCTGCTGGCAGCGGAGCACCTTGCAAAACGGAGGATAAATCACGATGAAAATGTGGGATAAATCACAATAAATCACGATCAAAATGTGGGATAAATCACAATAAATCACGATCAAAATGTGGGATAAATCATCATTATCTCAAATCAGGATGGTCTTTGTGCACTTTCCAGCCTACTTAGCAAGAAAGGAGAGTTAATGAGTGGAGCAGGCAAAGTTTCATCCTGGCTCAAGGACAGCCTGGAATTAAGGAGCTCCAGGGATGTCATAAATCAGGATATCATAAATTGGGATGTGATAAATCAGATTTTAATGGAGACTTTGCTGACTCAACAAAATCCTCGCGGTCCTTTTGTCCTGTCCGCTTTGGGATGGGCGGGACCATCAATCCCATCTCGTTCCACCCCCTCGGGATCTCCAGATGTGCGGGGGGAGGGAGGGTGGGCGCATCCAGATGTTGCCCCTCCTCCGCACTACAACTCCCACGATGCTCCGCGCGTCGCCCCGCCTGCACTACAACTCCCACAATGCCCCGCGCGCCCGACCACCGCCACGCCCGCACCTGGCGCATGCACACAGCTCCATATGGCTCCAAGATGGCTGACACAGCGTCCGGGGGCTCCGGCACGGTAACGGCGCCTGATCCCCGGGGCGCGGGGCCGTGGGGCCGGGTTCCCGGCGGGTCCCCGGCGGGGCCGGGCAGGGCGGCAGCGCTCGATCCCTCCGGGGCGCGGAGGCGGCCGCGGCCAGGCCGCGGAGCGTGGAGGCGGCGGGTGGAGGGAGGGAGGCGCTGATTGGCTGGAAGGCCCGAGGGGAGGCAGGGTTTGATTGGCTGAGGATGGCGCGCTCCAATTGGCTGGCGGGGAACGAGGCGGGGCTTGTGTGGGGGGGGTGTCCTTAAAGGGGCCGCGTCCCAAAAAGTCAAAAAGTGTCTGGGAGGTTCTGTAAGGACACGTGTGTAAATATATGTACTTATATAAATATTTATATATATATATATATATATATATATATATATATATGCACATATATATACCCATGTGCCCCTGTGAGTGTATACAACACATGTGTGTATGTATACCTGTGTCCTGCTGTCACTCTTCCCATTACCTGCTCCCGAACTTTTTCCAATCCTTGTTCCATGTTCCTTCCCAGTCCCTGCTTCATGGTCCTTCCACCTGATCTGTGACCCTTCCCTGCTCCCAAGTTCCTGCTCCCGAGCCCTTCCATTCCCTGCTCCCTGCCCCGTCCCTTACCATGGATCCCATGCCATGGATCCCATTCAATCCCATCCTATCCCATGCCATGGATCCCATTCCATCCAATGGATCCCATCCCATCCCATGGATCCCATCCCATCCCATGGATCCCATTCCATCCAATGGATCCCCTCCCATCCCATGGATCCCCTCCCATCCCATGGATCCCATCCCACCCTTCTCAGGGGGTACAAACCCTCCTTTCCCCATCCCTAACTCCATTCCTCCATCCCAGTGGGTGCCCCTGCAGACAATTACCATGGATCCCATCCCATCTCATGGATCCCATCCCATGGATCCCTTCCCATTCCCTAACTCCATTCCCCCTGGCAGAGGGTGGGCAGCAAGCAGGCTGGCACCCCAGCTGACAATTACCATGGATCCAACGGATCCCATTGAATGGATAACTCTGTGTTTTTTCCCTGGCAGAGGGGCAGCAAGCAGGCTGGCACCCCAGCTGACAATTACCATGGATCCAACGGATCCCATTCTATGGATAACTGTGTTTTTTCCCTGGCAGAGGGGCAGCAAGCAGGCTGGCACTCCAGCTGACAATTACCAGCTGGCGCGGCGCCGCACGCTGCAGGTGGTGGTGAGCTCGCTGCTGACCGAGGCCGGCTTCGAGAGCGCCGAGAAGGCGGCGGTGGAGACGCTCACCGAGATGATCCAGAGCTGTGAGTGCCCCCTGGCCAGCCCACACAGCAGTGCCTCTGCTCACACAGGGCTGGCACCCTGCTTTTCACACAGTCACGGGGTGGGGAGAGAGCAGCCCAGCTCTGATGCTGCAGATAAATCCCAAAAATCGGCCCTCAGCGCGAGGCATCGATCCCAAAAATCAGCCCCAGTTCGTGGCACCAATCCCAAAAATCAGCCCTCAGTGAGAGGCACCAATCCCAAAAATCAGCCCCAGTTCATGGCACCAATCCCAAAAATCAGCCCTCACTGAGAGGCACCAATCCCAAAAATCAGCCCCCAGTTCCTGCAATCAGCCCCAGTCCGTGGCACAAATACCAAAAATCAGCCCCAATCCAAGGCACAAATCCCAAAAATCAGCCCCAATCCAAGGCACAAATCCCAAAAATCAGCCCCAATTCCAAAGGCACAAATTCCTGGAATCAGCCCCCAGTCCAAGGCACAAATCCCAAAAATCAGCCCCAATTCCAAAGGCACAAATTCCTGGAATCAGCCCCAGTCCAAGGCACCAATCCCTGGATTCAGCCCCCAATTCCTGCAGTCCTGGAGCTGCCCCAGCTGTGAGAATCGAACCCCTGGTGGTTTTATCCTGCAGATATTTCAGAAATTGGGAGGAGTGCCAAATCCTACTGCGAGCACACAGCCAGGACCCAGCCCACGCTCTCAGACATCGTGGTGACCCTCGTGGAGATGGGTGAGCAGCTCCCTCTTCCCACCCCTTCCACCTCTGGATTGGGAAATTTCCCCCCAAAATCTGGGATTTGGGGGGTGCCTGTGGTGGTATTCAAAGGGGTCCCAGGACGAGGGAAGAGATGAGGATCTGACTCCATGTTTCAGAAGGCTGATTTATTATTTTGTGATTGTCACAGACACATTTAATGAAAAATCCTTTCCTTAGGATTTTTTCCCCCGAGAAGCCTCAGGAACAAAATATAAACAATAATTATCTGCTGCTGTGGAATGCAACAGGTGCATCTTTGATTGGTTTCATGTGGTTGATTTTAATTAATGGCCAATCACAGCCCATCTGTCTCAGACTCTGAGAGTCACGAGATTTTATCTTTTCTTTCCTTTCCTTTCCTTTCCTTTCCTTTCCTTTCCTTTCCTTTCCTTTCCTTTCCTTCTTCCCTTCTGATGAAATCCTTTCTTCTATTCTTTGAGTACATTTTTAATATAATATATATATATATAATAAAATAATAAATCAGCCTTCTGAAACACGGAGTCAGATCCTCGTCTCTTCCCTCAGCCTGGGACCCCTGTGAACACCACCACTGATGATATAAATTGTATTCAAACTGTACTAAAAGAATAGGAGAAGGGATTTCATCAGAAGGCTTGAAAGGAATAGAAAGGAATGAATGATAATAAAATCTTGTGACTGACCAGAGAGTCCGAACCAGCTGGGCTGTGATTGGCCATTAATTAGAAACAACCACATGAGCCCAATCCCAGATGCACCTGTTGCATCCCACAGCAGCAGATAACCATTGCTTGCATTTTGTTCCTGAGGCCTCTCAGCTTCTCAGGAGAAAAAAAAATCCCAGCAAAAAGATTTTTCATAAAATGTGTCCCTGACAGGTGTCCACACACAGCTGATGCTTTTCCCTGACCCCATGATCTGCTCCCCTCGCCCATTCCTTTCTTGTTCAATTTGGAAAAATTTAATTCTGGATTTTGACCGGGTAAATTCCCCTTTTCCTCTTTGGTGTTCCAGGTTTCAACGTGGAAACCCTTCCTGCCTACGCCAAGCGCTCCCAGAGGATGGTGATCACTGCCCGTACGTGGGGCACCTCTCCTGGGCTGGGGACAGCCTGCAGCTCCTGGAGCTCCCCTCTGCTGCCTTCCAGGGAGCTCCTGAGGAGCTTCCTCTGGGATAATCCAGGATTTGGGGCTCCTGTGTTGGGGTGAAGGGACCTGGGTCGCTTGGGAGGGGATTTGTCTGAAGGGTCAAGGGATCCTTTTCCCCTCTGGGATCCAATCCCAGGGTCAGGGATGGGGTCAGAACTTTGGGGGGACCCTGGGAAGGAGGATTCCTGTGTTTTCCCTGATTCCTGTGGGGTTTTCCCTGATTCCTGTGTTTTCCCTGATTCCTGTGGGGTTTTCCCTGATTCCTGTGGTGTTTTTCCAGGTTCCTGTGTTTTCCCTGATTCCTGTGTTCTTTTCCCTAATTCCTGTGTTGTTTCCCTGATTCCTGTGGTGTTTCCCCTATTCCTGTGCTGTTTTCCCTCATTCCTGTGTTTGTTTTCCCTAATTTCTGTGTTTTCCCTGATGCCTGTGGGGTTTTTTCCCTGACCCCCGTGTTTGTTTCCCTCATTCCTGTGTTTTCCCTCATTCCTGTATTTGTTTTCCCTCATTCCTGTGTTTGTTTTCCCTCATTCCTGTGTTTGTTTTCCCTCATTCCTGTGTTTGTTTTCCCTCATTCCTGTGTTTGTTTTCCCTGATTCCTGTGGTGTTTTCTCTGATTCCTGTGGTGTTTTCCCTGATTCCTGTGGTGTTTTCTCTGATTCCTGTGGTGTTTTCCCTGAATCCTGTGTTTGTTTTCTCTGATTCCTGTGTTTGTTTTCTCTGAATCCTGTGCTGTTTTCCCTGATTCCTGTGCTGTTTTCCCCCTGCAGCTCCAGTGACAAACCAGCCTGTGACCCCCAAAGCCCTGACAGCTGGGCAGAACAAACCTCACCCACCCCACATTCCTGGCCATTTCCCAGAGTTCCCAGATCCTCACACCTACATCAAGACACCAGTGAGTGAAAACAACATTTTTGTGCTGTTTGGGGTCTCCGAATTCCGGGAGTTGGGGTGGTTTTACTGCAGTGCTGCTGCCATTTATCCAAAATGTTCCTGCTGACCTGATACATTCCTTCTTTGTGGGTTTTGGGCATCCCTTGCCATCCAAAAATCAGCCAGAATCCCTGGATTTCTCATTTTTATGCTGGCTGGGATCTCTTTGATGTCCAGAACCCCAGAAGTGTTGTTTTTTTTTTTACTGCAGCACTGGTGTTATTTATCCAAAGTATTGTTTTTCCTGGCTTTGAATATTCCTTGTTTGTGGGTTTTGGACATTCCTTGGGATGGGATCCTTCCCCTTGCCTGCTCCCAGACCATTCCCAATGCAGAATCCCTGGATTTCTGCCTGCTGGACCCCTCTAACTGTCCAAAACCTCATGGATGCTGAAGAGCAGAACCTGCAGCTGCTCCATCCCCGTGAAGTTTGGAACTTGAGCTGCTCCATAACTCCTCCATCCCTGGGATGTTGGTTTGGAGGTGGAGCTGCTCCGTCCCTGGGATGTTTGGGAGTGAAGCTGCTCCATAACTCCTCTATCCCTGTGAAATTTGGGAGTGGAGCTGCTCCATCCCTGTGAGGTTTGAAGGTGGAGTTGCTTCATAACTCCTCCATCCCTGTGAAATTTGGGAGTGGAGCTGCTCCATCCCTGTGATGTTTGGAAGTGGAGCTGCTCTATAACTCCTCCATCCCTGAGAAGTGTGGAGGTGGAACTGCTCCACAACTCCTCTATCTCTGTGAAGTTTGAAAGTGGAGGAGCTGCTCCATCCCTGGGATGTTGGTTTGGAAGTGAAGCTGCTCAATTCCTGTGATATTTGGAGGTGGAGCTGCTCAATTCCTGTGAAGTTTGGAGGTGGAGATGCTCTATCCCTGGGATGTTTATTTGGAGGTGGAACTCCTCCATCCATGTGAAGTTTGGAGGTGGAGGAGCTGCTCCATCCCTGTGAAGTTTGGAGGTGGAGCTGCTCCATCCCTGGGATGTTGGTTTGGAAGTGAAGCTGCTCCATCCCTGGGATGTTTGTTTGGAGGTGGAGCTGCTCAATTCCTGTGAAGTTTGGAGGTGGAGCTGCTCCATCCCTGTGAAGTTTGGAGGTGGAGGAGCTGCTCCATCCCTGTGAAGTTTGGAGGTGGAGGAGCTGCTCCATCCCTGTGAAGTTTGGAGGTGGAGCTGCTCAATTCCTGTGAAGTTTGGAGGTGGAGCAGCTCCGTCTCTGGGACGTTTGGAGGTGGAGCTGCCCCAACCCTGGGATGTTGGTTTGGAAGTGAAGCTGCTCCATCCCTGGGATGTTTGTTTGGAGGTGGAGCTGCTCAATTCCTGTGAAGTTTGGAGGTGGAGCTGCTCAATTCCTGTGAAGTTTGGAGGTGGAGCAGCTCCGTCTCTGGGACGTTTGGAGGTGGAACTCCTCCATCCCTGTGACGTTTGGAGGTGGAGCTGCCCCAACCCTGGGATGTTTGTTTGGAAGTGAAGCTGCTCCATCCCTGTGAAGTTTGGAGGTGGAGCTGCTCCATCCCTGTGAAGTTTGGAGGTGGAACTCCTCCATCCCTGTGACGTTTGGAGGTGGAGCTCTCCCCAGCTCCTGCGTGCTGTCCCTCCCTGCAGACGTACCGCGAGCCCGTGTCCGATTACCAGGTGCTGCGGGAGAAGGCGGCGTCGCAGCGCAGGGACGTGGAGAGGGCCCTCACCCGCTTCATGGCCAAGACTGGCGAGACCCAGAGCCTCTTCAAGGACGATGTCAGCACCTTCCCACGTCAGTCACTCCATGGTTTCACCTCCCTGCAGGGTTTGGGAGTCATCCCGCAGTGGTGTCTGCACTGCTGAGGTGCTGGGTGTGGGAATCCTCGAAATCAGAGGGTTTGGGGGAAGGATTTAAGGATTGCCACGATGGAAGGTTGGAAAAGGAGGGATTTTGGGGTTAAAATGGGGAGGAAAAGCAGAAAGCAGCTCCTCAAGGTTTCCTTTTTTCTCCTGGTGGAGAAGTTAAATCCAAATCTCCTCCCAAATCCAAATCTCATCCCAAATTCAACTCTCATCCCAATCCTGGCTCCATCCCTGTAACCTCCCCCATGAATTTCTTCTCCCTGACATTTTCCTGCTGCTGGAAATTTTCCTGTCTCTGCCTGCAGAGCAGAGATGAGAATTCCCACTTTCCCAAGGCTTGCTGGCCCCACAGCTTCATTTAAGAGGAGCCCAAATTTCCCAGATCATTGGGAATTTATGGTGGAGCTCAGGGAGGATTTTCTGTGTTGGAACGCTGCTGGAAACATGAAGAGATTCAGAAAATTGGGAAGTAGAGAGTGCCATCTTTTAGGGATCAGAAAATTGGGAAGTAGAGAGTGCCATCTTTCAGGGATCAAGATTTCCTTCCTTATCCTTAGGAAATGTAAGGAAAAGGAAATGCATCCAAACACAGAACCAGCGAAATGTTTGATCTCTGTAACTTTGTCCCTAATTTCTGAGGGCAGGAATTTCTCCCAGCTTCCTGACTGTGTCTCCCTTTTTCCCTGCTGCCAGTGATTGCTGCCAGGCCTTTCACTGTGCCCTACCTGACAGCTCTGCTGCCCTCTGAGCTGGAGATGCAGCAGATGGAGGAGACGGATTCCTCGGAGCAGGACGAGCAGACGGACACCGAGAACCTCCCGCTGCACATGAGCACGGTGGGGCCACCCTGGGGCCATTCCTGCACCTTGGAAAACCTGCCTCTGCCTCCTGGGAAATGGGAAATGGAACTGAGCAGTGCCAGGGTTCCCCAGTTTGGAAAACCTGGCTCTGTTTCCTGGGGAAATGGGAAATAATGGAAGTGAGCAGTGTCAGGATTCTTGGAACTTGGAATTCTGGCTTTGTCTCTTGGGAAATGGGGAATGGGAAATGGAACTGAACAGTGTCCGGGTTCCCCAGTTTGGAAAACCTGGCTTTGTTTCCTGGGAAAATGGGAAATGGAGCTGAACAGTGTCAGGGTTCTTCAGCTTGGAATTCTGGCTCTGTCTCATGGGGAATGGGGAATAATGGAACTGAGCAGTGTCAGGGTTCTTGAGCTTGGAATTCTGGCTTTGTTTCCTGGGAAATGGGGAATAATGGAACTGAGCAGTGCCAGGGTTCTCCAGTTTGGAATTCTGGCTTTGTTTCCTAAGAAATGGGAAATGGAATTGAACATTGTCCTGGTTCTTAAGCTTGGAAAACCCGGCTCTGTTTCCTGGGAAATGGAACTGAACATTGCCAGGGTTCCCCAGTTTGGAATTCTGGTTCTCTCCTGGAAAATGGGAAATGGAGCTGAACATTGCCAGGGTTCCCCAGTTTGGAATTCTTGTTCTCTCCTGGAAAATGGGAAATGGAACTGAACATTGCCAGGGTTCCCCAGTTTGGAATTCTGGCTCTGTCTCCTGGGAAATGGGGAATAATGGAACTGAACACTGTCCTGGTTCTCCAGCTCCCTGCAGAGTCCAGTGCAGAGTGAGGCTGAGCAGGAGCTTTCAGGACATCCCAAATTTTCATTTTCCCAAGGGATTTTCCTGTCTCACAGCCCAGGAGGCCTGGCCCCTGCTGCAGCTCCTTGTGTGCTTGGTTGTTGATTGTCCCTCCTGCCCACACGTTCTGGGCTTAGAATTTGGAATCCTGGAATAGTTTGGGTTGAGAGGGACCATAAAAATCTTATCCCATGGGCAGGGACACCTTCCCCTACCCCAGGATTGCTCCAGCCTGGCTTTGGACACTTCCAGAGTTGGAGCAGCCATGGATTCTGTGAGCAGAAAGATTTCCAAGCCTGACTTTTGATTTTTTACTGTTTTTTCTCCATGGCAGGATGATGCAGGACCCGAGAAGGAGAACACCTCAGTGCTGCAGCAGAGCAGCTCCCTGGCAGGCAGCAGGAACGGGGAGGAGAACGTCATCGACAACCCCTACCTGAGGCCCGTCAAGAAACCCAAAATCCGCAGGAAGAAGTGAGGGGGAGGGAGGGGGGGAAATTCCCAAAATTCCCCTGGGAACCTCACCCAGGGCTCAGGAGAGGCAGCCCAGCTGAGGAGGGGTCTCTGAGCCTGGTGAGCCCCACGCCCACCCTGCAGCGCTCCAGGAGAACACCTGGGAATTGTCTGGGGGGCTTTGGCTTCCGCTCTGGGGGGGATTGAATTTCTGAGGAGCTGAGAGAGCCAGGGCTTGGAGGGGCTGGGCTTGGAGAACCCAGGGGTTGGATTTAGAGAACCCAGGGGTTGGATTTGGATTTGGAGAACCCAGAGGTTGGATTTGGATTTGGAGAACCCAGGGGGTGGATTTGGATTTGGAGAACCCAGGGGTTGGATTTGGATTTGGAGAACCCAGGGGGTGGATTTGGATTTGGAGAACCCAGGGGTTGGATTTGGATTTGGAGAACCCAGGGGTTGGATTTAGAGAACCCAGGGGTTGGATTTGGATTTGGAGAATCCAGAGGTTGGATTTGGATTTGGATTTGAAGGACACAGGGGTTGGATTTGGAGGACCCAGGTGTTGGATGTGGGGACCCAAGGACTGGATTTGGAGGAACAAGGGATTGGATTTGGAGGGACACGGGTTGGATTTGGATTTGGAGGGACACAGGGGTTGGATTTGGATTTAGAGGACACAGGGGTTGGATTTGGAGCACCCAAGGGTTGGATTTGGAGGGACACAGGGGTTGGGGTTGGATTTCGAGGATGCGGGGTTGGATTTGGAGGGACACAGGAGCTGGAGCTGAGGGATCCAGGGGTTGGATTTGGATTTGGAGGAACAAGGGATTGGATTTGGAGGGACACAGGGGCTGGATTTGGATTTAGAGGACACAGAGATTGGGTTTGGAGAACCCAAGGGTTGGATTTGGAGGACACAGGAGCTGGATTTGGAGAAACCAGGGGTTGGATTTGAACTTGGATTTGGAGGACACAGGGGTTGGGGTTGGATTTGGAGGACATAGGGTTGGGTTTGGAGGGACCCAGGGTTGGATTTGGATTTGGATTTGAAGGACCAAGGGGTTGGATTTGGATTTAGAGGACACAGAGGTTGGATTTGGAGGACCCAAGGGTTGGATTTGGAGGACACAAAGTCTGGAGCTGTGGGACCCAGGGATTGAGATTGGGTTTGGAGGACCCAGCCTTTATTCCCTTTATTTCCTCCTTTATTCCCTTTATTTCCTCCTTTATTCCCTTTATTTCCTCCTTTATTCCCTTTATTTCCTCCTTCATTCCCTTTATTTCCATGTCACTGTTGTCATTATTGGCTCTGCTTCTGGAGGGCTTTGCTTTCATTTTCCTTCAGCATTTTCTTGGGTAAAATAAAGAAGGAAAATCTTCTCTTTTTTTTTGGGTTAAAGAAAACCAAAATAAGGTTTTCTTTGATTTCTTTGGAAAACCCATTTGGGTTTTCTTTGACCCAAAATCTGGGTTCAGTTTCCATCAGAAAAAGCTCCTGAGGTTTGGTCCAAAATCTTCCAAAAAATTCCAGCTTCACCTCCATGAAGTTAAAAGGATCCCCCCTCTTTCCCCAGGACAAAAATTTAAAAAAAAAGGGTTTTTTTCAATTATTTCCTGCCAAAAAAAAATCTGAAATTAAATCTCAAAGCCCTCACCCTGTGTGTTCCACTGTCCCTTCTGCTGGTGCCTTGCTTGTACAGAATGAAAAATGTACAGAACACCTGTAAATGTTTGTATATATCCAAAAATTTTATCTCTTTTTAACTTTGCTTTTTTTGTTTTCTGCAAGGAGAAAAATCCCTTGCTGGGTAGGGGAAAAAGAAAAAAAGGTGGAATGAAAATTGTAGTTTTTATGTTCATAATAAAAGAAATTTTATGTCCTTATGAGCAAATTGTGATTTTTGTGTTCATCAGAAAGGAATAATAATTATTATTTATTAAAGGTATTTAGAATTATTTAATAGAGGTATTTAGTAAAAGTATTTAATATTAGTATGTTCCTGTATCAATTTAATACAAATTAATACATTTAAATTAAATTTATATAAATTTAATAATGGAATATAATAATAATTCATGATGTTCATAATTAAAGGAATTTTATCTCTTATGAGATAAATTTTAATTGTTATTTAAATTATTTTCAATTCAATTATTTATTTAATTTAATTTAAATTAGCAGTTGGGTTTGGAAACACAGAAATTAAAGGTTTGAGGGGAAACAGCTGCCCCAACACCAGGAACTTTCTGTTTCAGGCCACATTTATTTTTGTGATTCTCAGTTTCAAGCAATTTTTATTTTTTTGTTTTAAATTAAGAATATTTTCATTTCAGCAAGGAAGGAGCCAAAATGCAAAAAAAATTCCTCCTGTCCCAACCTGGCCTCTTTCCCTCAGATGTTTTCAGGGTGATTTTTTGGGCGAAAAACATAAAAACTCTCTGAGTGTTAGAACTTGAAATGTAGGGAATTCTTGGAAAATTATTTGGTTTATAAAATTATTTAGCATATAAAATTATTTGGTATATGAAAATATTTGAAATATGAAATTATTTGGTATATAAAATAATTCGGTATATAAAATAATTTGGTATATAACATTATTTTGTATATAAGATTATTTGGTATATGAAAATATTTGATATATGAAATTATTTGGTATATAAAATTATGTGGTATATAAAATTATGTGGGTTTATATTCTAAAGTTTAGAATTTAATGTAAGATTTAATTTGAGGCTTTAAAAAAACTTCTAAGTACTAAAAGTGAGAATATAAATTTATAGTTTAGAGACATGTTAAACTAAGCAAAAGAAAGTTTAGAACTTGAATTTTTACTTTCATTTTGATTTTATACTTTTATTTTTTTATATTATTATTTTAGTTCAGTTCATTACCATAATTTTTTTTAAATATCTCCAACATATTTAAAACACATGAAAATATTTTAAAACACCTTCAAATATTTTAAAACACCTCCAAATTATTTTAAAACAAATTCTGGATTTCAATTTCTTCCCAAGGGGGTGGGAATGGGGCTGAGAAGGTTGAGCTGAGCAGAGTGAATTAAAAACATTAAAAACAAACATTAAAAACATTAAAAACCCATTAAGAACATTAAAAACCATTTAAAATATTTGATTTATTCGGCCTGGAGCTGCAGGTGCTATAAAATAAAGATATTTTTCCTGAAATAAAGATATTTTTCCTCAGCCGTGGTACAGCTTCAGGTAGGCCTCTCTGCCCTGGTTCTTCTGGAATTTTTTATCCACAGTCATCTAAAAAAAAAAACCACCCAAATTTGCATTAAAAACAACGAAAATGTGCCAGAAAATGAAGGGGGTGAGAGCTAAAATTGGGATTTAAATCAGATTTTTGTACCAGCAGAGCCCCACGAGGCAGTGGAGGCCCCACGTTGCTCATTTTGGGGTGGAAATCGGAGAGAAATTCGGAGTAAAAGAAGATTTTTGGAAGGGTTTTGCCAACAGGGATTGTTTGAGAGAAAATCATTTTGGTGCTCTGGGCGGGGAAAAATCCAAAAGAATTGTGGAAATGTGAAGGAAAAAAAGGAAATTTCCTCTCTCAGAAGCAGGAAAAAAATAACAGAACAGGGAAAATGGGAGTTGAAAAGGGAATTTTTATCCGTCAGAAGATTTGAGGCAGGGAAGGGTAAAAAAAGGTGGAGGAAATGGGAAATAAAAAGGGAATTTTCTGTCTCAGGAAAGGAAAGAACAACAAAACAGGGAAAATACGAAGAAAAAGGGAAATTTCTTGTCTTAAAAGAAGGAGAGGACAATAAAAAGGTGAAAATATGGAGTAAAAAGGAAATTAGGAAATTTCCTCTCTCAGAACATTGGGACAAAAAAAAAAAAAGGGTAACAAAACAGTGAAAATATGAAGGGAAAAGGAAATTTCCTCCCTCAAAAGCAGGAGAGGACAAGAAAAAAGTGAAAATATGAAGAGAAAAGGAAATTTCTTGTCTCAAAAGCAGGAAAGGACAACAAAACAGTGAAAATGGGAACTTAAAAGGGAATTTCCTGTCTCGGAAGCACTGGGGTAGGAAAGGATCATAAAATAGAGAAAATATGAAGCAAAAAGGAAATTTCTTGTCTCAGAAGGAGGAAAGAACAATAAAACAGTGAAAATATGAAGAAAAAAAGGAAATTTCTTGTCTCAAAAGCAGGAAAGGAAAATAAAACAGTGAAAATATGGAGTGAAAAGGAAATTTCCTCTCTCCAAAGCAGGAAAGGACAATAAAACAGTGAAAATGGGAACTCGGAAGCACTGGGGTAGGAAAGGATCATAAAATAGAGAAAATATGAAGCAAAAAGGAAATTTCTTGTCTCAGAAGGAGGAAAGAACAATAAAACAGTGAAAATATGAAGAAAAAAAGGAAATTTCTTGTCTCAAAAGCAGGAAAGGAAAATAAAACAGTGAAAATATGGAGTGAAAAGGAAATTTCCTCTCTCCAAAGCAGGAAAGGACAATAAAACAGTGAAAATGGGAACTCGGAAGCACTGGGGTAGGAAAGGATCATAAAATAGAGAAAATATGAAGCAAAAAGGAAATTTCTTGTCTCAGAAGGAGGAGAGAACAATAAAATGGCGGAAATATGAAGCAAAAAGGAAATTTCCTCTCTCAGAAGCTTTGAGGCAAAAAAAGGACGACAAAACATAGCAAAAATGGGAACTTAAATTTCCTCTTTCAGAAAGATTAAAGACGGACAAAACAGTGAAAATGTGAAGAAAAGAGGACATTTCCTGTCTCAGAAGCAGGAAAGAACAGCAAACCCTAATAAAAATATGAAGCAAAAAGGAAATTTCCTCTCTCAAAAGCAGGAGGGGACAGGGGGAAAAAAGTGAAAACGGGAAGCGGAAAAAGGAAATTTCCTCTCCCAAAAGCAGGAGAGGACGACCAAAAAAAAAAATTAAAATAGGAAGGAAAAAAAGGGGGAGTTTCCCTGTCCCTGAGCCTTCCTCACCTTCTGCACCTGCATCTTCACCATCCTCGGGGCCGGCTGGGGCAGCGCTGCCCGGTCGGGAGCCCCAAACCTGGAGGGCCACGAGATTTTCTTGGTGAAAGGCTCCTGGATGTCGTAGGTGCCCGGCCTGGGGGCAAGAGGAGCCCTTTGTTGATTTATTTGCATCGTTTGTTGATTTAAATGCATTTTATCTGCATTTTGGGGTTTGGTTTTACTAAAATGTCGCGGTGTTGGGTAAAGCGTCGCAGTGTTGGGCAAAATATTCCAGTGTTAACTTAAATATTCCAGTGTTAACCTAAATATTCCAGTGTTAATCAAAATATCCTAATGCTAACCAAAATATCCTTGGTATTATCCAAAATATCCCAGTGTTAACCAAAATACCGTAATGTTAACCTAAATATTCCAATGTTAACCTAAATACTCCAATATTATCCAAAATATCCCGATGTTAATGAAAATACTCTAATATTGATCAAAACGTCCCAATATTAACCAAAATATTCTAAGATTAACCAAAATATTCAAATATTATATAAATATCCCAGTATTATCCAAAATAGCCTAATGTTAACAAGAAAATTCCAATATTAACCTAAATACTCCAATATTATCCAAAATATCCCGATGTTAACCAAAATACTCTAATATTGATCAAAACGTCCCAATATTAACCAAAGTATTCTAATATTATCCAATGTTAATTACAATATTCCAGTGTTAACCTAAATATTCCAATGTTAATCAAAATATCCTAATGCTAACCAAAATATCCCTGGTATTATTCAAAATATCCCAGTATTATCCAAAATGTCCCAGCATTAACCAAAATATTCAAATATTATATAAATATCCCAGTATTGTCCAAAATACCGTAATGTTAACCTAAATATTCCAATGTTAACCTAAATACTCCAATATTATCCAAAATATCCCGATGTTAACCAAAATACTCTAATATTGATCAAAACGTCCCAATATTAACCAAAGTATTCTAATATTATCCAATGTTAATTACAATATTCCAGTGTTAACCTAAATATTCCAATGTTAATCAAAATATCCTAATGCTAACCAAAATATCCCCAGTATTACCCAAAATATCCCAGTGTTATCCAAAATGTCCCAGCATTAACCAAAATATTCAAATACTATATAAATATCCCAGTATTATCCAAAATACCCTAATGTTAAAAAAAAATTCCAATGTTAACCTAAATACTCGAATATTATTCAAAACATCCCGATGTTAACCATAATACTCTAATATTGATCAAAACGTCCCAATATTAACCAAAGTATTCTAAGATTAACCTAAATATTCTAATATTATCCAATGTTAATTAAAATATCCCAGTGTTAACCAAAATATGCCAGTATTATCCAAAGTGTCCGAATATTAAACAAAATATCCCAATGTTAACCAAAATACTCTAATATTGATCAAAACGTCCCAATATTAACCAAAATATTCTAAGATTAACCTAAATATTCTAATATTATCCAGTGTTAATTAAAATATCCCAATGTTAACCTAAATATCCTAATATTAACCACAATGTCCCAATGTTAACCAAAATATTCCAATATTATCCAAAATGTCCCAATATTAACCAAAATATCCCAATGTTAATCAAAATGTCCCAGTATTATCCAAAATATCCCAATGCTAACCTAAATATTCCAGTATTATCCAAAACATCCCAGTGCTAACCAGAATGTCCCAATATTAACCAAAATATCCCAATATTAACCAAAACATCCCAATGTTAACCAAAATATTCCAACATGCACCAAAATATCCTCATATTAAACAAAACGTCCCAATATTAACCCATAGTTTTTGAGATACAAAGCTTGTTTTTGGCAGACAAAGAACCCTTATATTCGGAGATTAAAAAACTT